TTTTCTCCATCAGAAGAAAAGGACAGGTGTACCTGGTTTTAAAAAGGAAAAGTTCACAAAATTAACATTCTGGTTTTTCACTTTTTTTAGTGTCAATTTTATTGGCAAAAGCTTTAATGAGAATAAGCTTGACTCAGACACAGCTGGGCTCCTACTATAATTGAATTTGTACCCCCAAATTATAGGCCCCTACTTTCAGGAGAGAACTGGGACCAGCACACGTCCTTGGTGATGGAGGAGCAGGCCCATCCTGAGAACAGGCTTCCAGGCGAGTAGCACAGTGCTCACACAGGCCGCCAGTTCATTTAGAGTTCAGAGGGCACAAGACCCAGGGCCTCACTTCATCTGACATCGCTCAACAAAATGAGTGCTTTTTTGGGGGTGTTTTTGCTTTTAATTGTGACAGGGCTTTTGGAGAAGACACAAATGACTAAAGCCGTTCTCAAGTTTCCCGCAGTGCTGCTCCTTCAGAGGTAAAGGACATTTGGAAATGTGTGTGCGTGAGATTTGTCACAAGCACTGGGGATGACTTGGCACAGATTTTTAATAAAGAGCCAGGGATGTTAAGTGATCTGCAGTGTACAAGAAAGTTGCCTGCAATGGAGCTATCACACTCAAAGTGCCAGTAGCATCCTCATCAAGAAACAGACATGTTTCGAGAACTTGTTTGGGAATATGTAGTTTAAAATCACTTAAAACTTCTAGGAAAAGTTGAAAGAGCAGCCAGGAAATCAGTGGGTGTTACTGTGGGTAAGACGTCGAGCCTACTCTGTTCAGTGTTCTGCCTGATATTTGCACTTCCAGCTGGGCGTTAGGGTTGCATTGGAGCACATTAGCTCAGCAGTTGTGTAGCATCCAGTCTAGGGTTCCTTTAAAAGGGAGAGGTGATCTGTATGTGTACTATTACTTTCATGTTTGAGGAGACACTTGAAAATTGTTCATAACTAGTTTAATACGGTAATGCCCCCTTATCCACAGTTTTGCTTTCCTCAGTTTCAGCTACCTGTGGACTTTCTCACTCTGAAAATATTAAATGAAAAATTCCAGAAATCGCTGTCCCTTCCATCTCACCCGGGATGTGAATCAGCCTTTGTCCTCTGTCTCCAAGCTGTATTCACTCCCCACCCCTTAGTCATTTAGTATCAAATTCACTGTTGAGGTATCACAGTGCTTATGTTCAAGTAACCCTTATTTTACTTAACAATGGCCCCAAATCCCAAGAGTAATGGTGCTGGCAATTCAGTTATGCCAAAGAGAAGCTGTAAACTTCACCATAGGTATATATGTATGTATAGGAAAAAGCATGGCATACATAGGGTTGGGGATTATCAGCAGTTTCAGGCATCTACTGGGGGTTGTAGAACTAGGGACTACTTTCCTTACAATTTTTCTTTTGGGGGTTGTGTATGTGGTAACATTCTTTCATTTTGATTATGTTGAAATGAGATAATGTATATGAAACTGTTAATGTGATATCTGGCACATTTGCACTCAGTAACTGTTTTTATTAACCTTTATGTGTATTTTCAGAGAGCTATTGCTTATCTTTTTCCCAGTGGTTTGTTTGAGAAGCGAGCCAGACCAATAATGAAGGTAATTATCTTAATTCATATTTTTAAAAATTTCACTTAGTTTAATATGTTGCAATAATTATCTAATGCATTTTTAAATTTATTTTACAGCATCCTGAACAGATTTTTCCAAAACAGAAAGGTAAGTTTGTTAAGAATGAAATAAGCAGTTATTGTTGCTATATTGTTATGTTATACTAGTGGCCCAGTGAACGAAATTCGTGCACATTAAAAGGGAATTAATTAGAGGAAATATTTTAGTATTGCTATTTGCCCTTTCTCTATAATAGAAGAGTCAGAGATGAAAGAAAAATTAGTAAAATGTATATGAAAATAATATATAAATTGATTAATAAATAACATGATATAACAACAACAAAGACATGATATAAAAACAACAAAAACATGAT